CACCTTCGAGCATCGAAAAGTGCATCAGTACACCTGGTACCGGGAAGCTTGTGCACAGAAGTCGATGATCCACTTGGCAATCGTATCGTCTGGCCAACAACGTTGTGCAGAGCGACTTTCGACATGGTGAGTACAATTACGACAATACCTGCTTACGCTATTTGAGTCTGAGTTGCAACATCGAAATGCTAACTACAAAAGGAGCTGATTTGTGACAAAAGTTCAGTGACGTTGTGGAGTGAAATTTCTATACTACAAACAGAATATTTTGGTCAATCATCCGCCGCCTTCGAAAGAAAAAGAATGATGCCTAAGAGTCCTGAAGATCCGGAACCTACTTAATAAGGAAGAAGAAGTACTTAGGCCACGGTTGAGAGGACATCAAGGAATTTTTTAACAGTGAGTACTTGTAGCAAGACTCGCTTGAAGAGCAGGAGGGAACATATCAGTCTTTCAGTAAAATAAAACACAAAAGCGGCAGAAAGATTGAAAATGGTCAAGGTTGCTGGAATCCACGAAATCTGCCCAGAAATGCTTAAAGGTTAAAGCGAATAAGGTATGTTCTGGCTAATACATGTATGAAAAACTGCACTGGCTACCGGGAAGACCCTAGTAGACTGGAGAACGGGGGTTTTAGTATCCCTGTTCATCAAGAAGAGAGGCCACAGGAAATGCTCCAATTATTGGGGAATTTTACTGAACCCCCAGGGTAAAGTATCCGCAAAGGTGCTAGAAAGAAGGAATTGCCAAAATAATTGAATCTAAGACAAAAAAGCAACCAGTGCAGCGTCAGGTTAGGCCGAAGCACATCTGATCAGATCTCTGCCTTTTTCTTTGACCAGACCAGATGGTTGAGATATGGGAGTACGCCCGTCCGGTGTACGTATGTTCTGTTGATCAAGAGAAAGCCTATGACCGGATCCAGCGCAACAGTCTATGGGCATGCCTGCGAATATATGGGATCGGTGGCCAGTCACAATACGTATAATGTGACTTCCGAGTATGATAAGTCAACATTTACCGCACCGCTTGGAAGATCAAGACCTGGAAATGCGATTCATTGCACAGGTCAAGATATTTACATATATATAAACCAAAGATGGTCTCCGTCGCAGCAAAGCAGCATATTCACAACAGCACTATATTTAAAACAGTGCAGTCGCCTAAGTATTTCTTGTCAGTTAATGCACAGTAGTGTTATGAAAAGAAATTGCAGCAGGATAAATGATAAGAAGAACAGCATCGTTCGTGTTTATCAATATACTATCACATCCAAGACCAGACTTTAAGAAGTGTTGCACCGCTCGGATTTATAAAGGTAGAATAATGTGCATCTAAGGAAAAGAGAACAGCACGGAGGACATCGAAATAGGAGTAGAATGTGGAATAAACTCTGCAGTAATTAAATGCGAAGGAATGAAAAACGCCGCAGTAAAAAAGTATCGGAGGCTTGTGATTGGAAAGATAAAGGAAGTGCTATTCCTCAGCCATGCATCAGCCATGCAATGCCAGCGGAAGACAATTAAAAAGATATACTATCTGCGTAAAAAGAAAAGATAGAAGAACTAACAAGACAGCTACATCGAAATCCGTCCCCGTATATTAAAGTGTACTCATAACTGCTTCTATTTTATAGTCGTAGAATATGGATAGGGAATGATTCGAAAGCCAGGCATGTTACAATAATAGTGTGGTCGTGCAGAGTAAACCCGCTATGATGTAAGATTATATAGACTGTATCGACAGAAGGAAAAACAATAAAAGAGGACTATTACTAATTACATAAGAAACCAAATCAAAGTCTCATGCAAGGAACAGTGAAAGTGAAGAAACACCGCTTAAGCATAACCTTCACAGATATCACAGAATAAACGCAAACCACCGCGCTGGCCATCAAAGTGCGAGTGAGTGTCGATCTCGTGCTCATCGAACGGACAGTCGATCGTGTCGTGCTGGTCGAACACTTCACAAATATCACAGTACTGACGGGGGGCAGGCAGCGACGGCAAAAGCGATCTAAAAGCAGCGCACTTCACGAACGCCTCACCACCGACTTACCGCTGCCGCTACGACAGCGACTTTACTTCATGTTCGAAAAGTCAAACACGTCCTCTTCGTCGTGTTTCTTGAACTTCATCAGCTCATCATTCTTTCGCTGCAGCTCGGCAATCACTGAGTTCAGAAACGCAATTTTTGCACAATCGTCCGACGGTACTTTCGCCTTCTCCGGCACAATGTCTGTCTGCGCTTCCTTATCAGCATGTTCCTATTCGTTGAACAAAACAGAACACATTTTAGGAGACGAACATACCGAAGCACTTTTGAAAATGTTAGAAAGGATTACAGTACAATAAATATAGGAAACACGAACAATGCATCGCTTCTGTAATGCACGCCTTCTCTAATTTATACGACATAACAGCACCATTATCTGTTTCCAGAAAAGCATCGACCTATTTAAACAGACCACGACAACATACTGTTATAGTCCCAGCTGTACGGCATTGACGAAAAGCCAAATCACTTGTTAAGACGAACAGCATCCTCAGCAACAATGGCTATTTTTAGCCTCTTTAGTATCTAGAATCAAGGGAAAACTGCGATTACGCCGTACAAATTCGAAGATACGACGCTTAAGTGCCGGTATTCTAACCGGCAACGTCGATAAAAACGAACTTTTGCTAGTGAACCCGGAACTCCTGGTTATACAACAGCTAAAGATGCGATATTTGCTAACCCATTAAGTTTCAAATCTAGCAATACAAGCGAAATATAAAGCAGAAAAAATACTATACACAACGATGCTGTGGATAAATCCAATTTCGTACTGAATTCATGCAAAGTAACGATCGAGATATTGAATCACACAGTACATCCAGTTAAAGTCTTATGCATTTTATCAGGCAACAAAGGTGTTCATGAAGGCATTGTGTCATATTACTGTTTTTGTCTTAATAGCGCTACAAAGACGTGAAGCCCGGACTACTGAAACCGCTTCTGAACCGCCTACTGTAACGCAGGAATTTATTATGTCGTATAATGTGCCTAATATCAGGCAGCAGCGTACAGGTAACAGGCTCGCAATGTAAGATATATAAAATGAAATAGATTACAATCTTTCGCCTGGCCTTTATCCGACGCAAACTGACGCTCCTGTAATTTTATCTCTCCTGTTCCTCTTCCTCAATGGCTGACCATGTAATTTGGTCATCAGCTCATCCAGATGTGTTTTGGCTGAAATGAGGGAACGCTGAGAGTGCATTTGATTAAAAGCTGATAAGTCTTGACGTCCACTGGCTTCGCACGGGAGGAGCATTTTGTCACGACATCGTACAAAACAAAGGGCATATCCTTAAGCTTCTGCCTTAGGAACGCAGTCTCATGAGGAGAACGGGCATATTCATCGCTTTATCGCTCCTTGCATGAACACTTTTTCTCGTCAGTGTTTTTTACTAGACCAGCATTCAGCGCTGTAAATCATGGCCAGCGGATCATTCCTTCTTCAACTGCACATAGAACTTGTCTTCGAGTAATGGGGTTTTTAATCGAATGTCC